GAGATAGAGATAGAGATCGAGATGGAGATGGAGGTGGTGGTCCACGTGGAGGCGGAGAGGGACAGAGACAGAGAGACAGAGAGACAAAGAGACAGAGAGACAGAGAGACAGAGAGACAGAGAGACAGAGAGATAGAGAGATAGAGAGATAGAGAGATAGAGAGATAGAGAGATAGAGAGATAGAGAGATAGAGAGATAGAGAGATAGAGAGATAGAGAGATAGAGAGAGCGATAGCGATAGCGATAGCGATAGAGATAGAGACATAGACATAGACATAGACAGAGATAGAGATAGAGATAGAGATAGAGACACAGAGAGATAGAGAGAGAGAGAGAAACACATTTCTAGAAAAGCTCATTGTCATGCTGACAGAGCACGCTGTGAGATGTGAAGGATGAGTCTAAGCAGACAGTAAGGGAAGCCACGAGCATGCGCTATGCATCGGACCCTTCAAGACTGGGCTGCGATTAAACTTTGCCTGCAGCAGCACCCCTCCACCCAAAAATCAGGGAGGCCGATCGAGATGAACGTTCCTGACCTCTTCTTCGACCGATTTCTGCCAGCAACGCTCGGCTAGCTGTCGCTCTACAGCCCGGGACCGATGATGTAGGTACCATTATGGGCATTGCCATGAGTAGTATTGTTATGGGTACCATCACGGCTCTCGTGGTTGTGGCAACACCTGTGGTGAGCACACACGGCGCACAATCCAGCTACAGGCTCCGCAAAGGTCTGCCGAATTGGACCACACCTACACACGGGCAAGGCAGTAGTTATCAGTAGTTGTATGCTCCTGGAGCCTTCAGTCCCACAGTGCCAGTACGGGCTGCTCAGCAAACTAACCGCAAGCGCAAAACCTACTCAGTTTCAGAAGAAACCAGAAATGGGCACTAGCCGGCGTTGTGGCACACACGACGATCGACAAGAGGCAGCAGATACCTATAATAGACCTATATAGCAACTTGCAGACGACTGCTCCTCCGAGAAGAACTTCAAGAGGAGCCGCACTTTCCCGTGAGGCTCAATCAACCACCGGGTGGGCTGCATGACGTCCTCAGAGCATCGCCGAGCATCCTTTGGCTCAATAATGCTTGCAATGAGTTTGACCGGCCCTGGCGGCCCTGGCGAATCAGCTCAAGCTGTTGCCCGCCGAGCATCCTCCGCCGCTGCCCCTTTGCTGTCGCTCCTGGGGATCCCATCAGCTTCACTGAGCAAAGCCGCAAAGCGAAATACGGTACAACCTCTCGCAAACCACGCTTTGAGTTTTTCGGACCCAGGCCTTGGCTCCTCCGCCCCTGGGCCAGGCGCGTTTTCAGCGTGACTCGCGCTTTTTTGCTGCGGCTGTTTGCCCCGCACAGCCGTCCCAGGCCTCCCTCCTCGGCCGGTGTGAGGAGCGAGAAGCGCTCCACGGCAGCTCGTGGAAGGCGCAAATGCGGCCTCTGCACCACCTGGCGAAACAGATGAAGATGGAGGGGAAGGCTCGAATGGCTGGAAGCTGAGCAGCTGCGCCAGCCGCGCCTGTGCAAAGGACGGCGGAGGGATGGGCGGCTCCTTCGGAATGCAGGGAGGAGGCCTCAGCACACCCCCAGTGACGGAAGGTTTCGGCAGGTCCACCGTGCGCCGGGCACCATGTCATCAAGCGTGGCCCGGAGCTTGGGGAAGTCTGGCCCGGTGTCCTTCCAGGCAAAGAGCTGCCAGAGCTGCAGGTTATCCTCCGTTTTTCCTCACAGCTTCGGCCTCGAAGCTGGACTCGAGGCCAATGGCTGCAAAGCTTGCGAAGGGCTGCAAAGGCTCCGTCGGTGACTCGGCCTGTGCTGAAGGCGCCATGCGCGATGCGCTTTTCAAAGCGGGGAGAAGCTGAGGCGGTGTCAACTGCGGGCTGGACCGTCTCTTCTTCGGGCACTCCTTCAGAACACACACGGAGCCTACGAGGGCAACATCCGATGGCTCGCGTCCTGGAGTGCTCCCGGGTGCCGGAGATGTGGCGGCCTCCGGCGTCTCCGCAGCCGGGGCTGGGCCTCTTCCAAACGCGTCGCTGCAGGCTCTCCGCTTCCGAAACTCTGAGGCTCCGACTTGCTCCGCCCTCCGCCGAGGCGCCCTCCGCGGCCTCCGCAGCCTCGGCCTCCTCTGGGGATGCGGCCTTGACCGCTGGAGCCAGGACATCAAACCGGGCGCCCGCTGCTCGCTGCGCTGCCTCTTCGCGTGGCCGGCGCTTCGAGGCCAAGAAGCTGGCCACGCTGGCCTGACAAAGGCAAGAGAAGACTTCGGCCGCATCGCCTGCCCCACCCTCCCTGCCTCTAAGGATGCTGTCACTTCGCGACTGCGGGAGATCAGCGACTCTTCCTGTCCCTGGCGGTCGCATCTCGCGGGGCGCTCTCAGCGGGCGCACCGAACACGCCGCCCATGCCTCAAGCTTCTGTAGCTGCAAAAGCACATCGCGGGAACGCTGGAGCTGAGCGTCCAGATCCTCATGCTTGGCCTGTCACATTCCCGCAGGACATGGGGCCAAGTCAAGGCAGAGGAGAGAACAACACTCAAACAGGAGGAAAAGAAGGCATCAGCAGACAGAAAGCACAGCAAGCTTGAATCGTGCACATGGCTCCACACGCTCCCTGGCCTTGGCTTGTTTGACAGCATCCTCCATGGTCACCAGCTCCTCACGAAGCTTCGCTTCCTCCGCTGCCTGACGAACTGCCATTGGGCCTTCTGCTGTGCATAACTCTGATGCCGCATCGCACCTCTGGGTCCTGCTCTTCCTTGGCCATGGCTGCCGCACCTGCTTCGGAATTTCTGGCCCAGACTGCGAAAAGCATCTGCCCAAGACCAGACTGCCAGACTGCAGCCCAGGCACTTTCGGCGACAATTTCTGCCACCTCTTCTGATGCTTCCATACCAGCTGCCGCCTCGGCGCCTGGGGATCGGTGATGGTGGCCAAAACTCAGGGTTTCGGTAGCAGCGACGGAAACTTTTTGCAAGCGGACGGCGACGGACTGGGTCTGCCAAAAAGGGGCGGCTCGCATCGAGATGGTCGAAAACGTGTGCTGGATTATCTCCAATGACTAGTGCCAAGCATGTCATCACAAATGGACTTGTCAAGTTGGACTTGGACTCCCGCAATGCGTCCACGTACATGTGCTGCCCCCATCAACATCATCAAATCGCAGAGCATCGCGATACTGAATAACTGGGCTAGCGCTTCGACTAGCACTATGTAGTGTAACTCGGTGAAGATGACAGCTTACATTTTTACGCAGCTATTATCTGACGGCCGCTGCTGCCTGACCACGAGTCTATGCAGTGTACCACCACGACTGCTTGCGAGCTTCACTCCGACGACATCACAACTGTGGCTAGCTCTCATAGAAGGCCTAACCTCAATGATCATCGTACATTATGTACATTATGGTATACTATAGTACATCCTAGAATGTTCTAGTAATTCTAGTCTATACTATATATACTATACTACAGTATATAGGGGCAGGTTTTACTGTATAAGGCCACCGGCAACTGTGCGTCCTCGCCTGCAGCCTCCGCCTCCATGGCCCTCTGCTTCCTCCTCTCCGAAAGCTCCGCCAGCTTGCCGGTCGCCCTGGGAGCGATGCTTTCAAAGATAGGGGGACCCTAATATAGTACCCTACATACTAGGATCCCTATTATAAGGACCGCAATTAAGCTGTGTACTATAGTATACCATAATGTACATAATGTACTATAATCTGAAGGCCGGTGGACTAACCGTGCTGAGACGCTCTTCGAGGTCTGCTGCAGCCTTCTCCGCCCCTGCTTGCGCCTCAGGGACGATCGCCTCCAGCTGTGGCACATTCTGGGCTCGTGCGGAAGCTTTGAGGCTTGCTTTCATGTTCGGCCTCCAGCTGCTGCACGCGGCTCTCCGTGGCCGCCTCTGGACCATCAGCACAGTCTCTTCGCTAGAATCGCCTACATGACCTGATGCCCACACCTTCAGCGACGCATATTGCGCCTGCAATGCGGCGACCTCGCCGGAAGCGTCAGATGAAGCGGATGAAAGTCTCGCGGAACAGGAACACTCCAGCGTGTCTCGCAGTTGCCTCGATCTTGAGCTGCTCTGCATCCTCATCTGGATTCTCCGGAGAGGCTTTCATCAAGCCTGCCAGCTGGCACGGATGCACCAGAGACGCATCCTTTCGGGAGTGCATTTAAGTTGGCACAGTCCATCTGTGTACCCCGTCCTTCACCCAAGCTAAACTTCTGGCACGTCGTTGGTGAAAGAGAAAGCACCATGAGCTGCTCGGGCCACAGTGCACCAAGCAGTGCTGTCCTGTGAAGGCAATGGACACCGTTCGGCCGGTGTTGACGGGGTTTCTTAGGCAGAATCCCTGGCAGGTAGCTGTTGAAAACGCAGAAGGCTAGGGTTGCACGACGATCTCTGACAAATCACGGGTGCGGCATCCTCCCATGCTGCCCACGATAATTCGTGTTCATGCGCATCAGGACACGAAACAGCTGTGCAGCCCAAGAACACAGTTTGCTCCGCTGATGTCAAGTAGTTGGAGTCGGCACCGTCGAAGACGACGCAGGCGTTGCAGTCAGGAAGCCTGCGGACCCATGAGTTTTCCGAAGCGGAAGCGACGCTAACCTTGCTGCCAGGTAGCTGCATTCGATGTTGCAGAAAGAAGGTGACATCTTCAATAGGCAATGAGTATCTTGCAGGTTGTGGCGTGAACCTTGCTCACAGTCGGGTCTGGAACTTGGCCCATGAGATCCTTGCTATCCGAGCTTCGCTTCCTTGCTCTTCTTGGCCTGGGCTTCTCGCTCCTGTTTGAATCACCGCAGCCCTTTAAGACTGTGGAAATCTGTGGTGCTTCTGGGGTCCTTCTCTGCCTTTTCGTGCTCCTCTTCTTGTGCGGCCATCCTTAATTGCCCAAGTGGATCTGCCACAAACGATGTCAAGGAAAGTCGATCGGCACTCGAGCGAGCGTCAGCTTGCGCAGTCTCTCTCTTCGTTCCTCCTCCTGGGGCCCTTGAAGTGTGGCAGGTCCTGCTACACTGAAGATTGAAGCGATGTTGGACACAGACGACCAGGCCTGACAGCGCCCAGTCCACCGCAGCGTCCTCTCAACCACGCTGTTTGTGTGTGCAAAGCCACCACGCTGGTTCAGCGAAAATCCTCACGAACACTCCACTAGCACCCGGTCCACGGAGAGGATCTTCCGCTTGCCGTGCTCGAGGTGGGCTGCCAGTGAGCTCTTACCTGTCAGCGGCGGCCCCAGAAGAAGAACGTGAAGGCGGTCCTCGCAGCGAGTAGACGGAATTGAAGAAGTCCGGGAAACGAGACTAAATTCTTATGCAGCATTCGCTGCTGCGAGTGTGACGCAGGATGGAAGTCTGGGCTTTGACCCCGGCCTCATCCAGCACCCGGTAAGGGAAGTCGGCGGGATCCATTTCTGGCTGCTGCGCCTCGCGGACATGTCAGGTGAAAGATTGCACTGATGCCTCACGAAAAGCTGTCAACGGTCCTCTTCCACCTCACCTCCTTCCTCCCCTGGGTCCTGCGCCGAGACTGCAACAATCAAAAGCCACGATCACCTTTCCTAACCGGAAAGCGACACTTACGAGACGTACCAGAGCTCCTCCTCCGGCACTTCCTCCTCGTCCTGCTCTTCCGGCTCTGCTTCGACTTCCGCCAGGGCCGCCTCAGCCTAGACACGCCATAAAGAACACGGGGGAAGACGAGGGAAAGAACTCCAGAGGGAGCGAGAGCGAAACGGATATGCACATGTATACAGGCATACATACACACACACACACACATGTGTGTATGTGCTTTCTTCGCTTGTCAAGCGCACAAGCACGTGACCTGATAGTTTGATGTACACAAGCTTTAGATGTGTGCATGAAAAGCAACATGGATATAGATTCGGTTGTAGGTGCATGTATATACATGCATATAAATACAATGTGGGTATGGGGGTTGCAAAAACTTCTGAAAAGACCTGTCCCCAAGATCTCCTTGGAAACAGGGGCATTCCCAAATGTCGCTAATGTAACCGCACCTAATGAACACTCTGCGCGCAAGCACACAGAGAGATTTTCAGCCAACCGGTATCCCAAGCCTCGGCCAACTCCGCGGTGACTTTCCTCAGCTTGACATACAAAATCATACGAAAACTGCATGTGCAGATCTCCGTTCCATCAACCGACGTAAACATGACTGCACATGTCATTTATTTAACTATGTAGTGCAGACGTTTGCGTTTGCGTTTGCGTCCTGTGCTTTACACTCTCGCAACTCGGGCGGTCCAGGCGAAGTCAATCGAGCACATTCCTGTATCAACACACGTTCACACGTATGCCCTTGATTTCTATGCTCATGCTACGCATGCATGTCAATGCATGCATACACCCATACGTTCATGTATGTATGCTATAATGCAGTAAAAGGTAATGTCATGTATTGGAATATGATGTAATATGTACTTTTGCATTTGGCTTGATTAGTTACCCGCTCCCTTGAACCCTTCGCGGAGAGCGGCGATGACGGCATCGGAGCTGCTCGGAGATGCTTGGGGGGAAGGGGGTCGACGGCCGCAGTAACGCCTGTGGGCCATTTCTACCTCCTCCTCCTCCGCATTTTAAAACATTGTAAAATACTGCAATATGTCGCAATGTATGTTGCATTATGGTGCATTGTTATGCCATTTAATGTTGTCGAATGTAAAGTATTTTGCCAACTTTCTGTTAAAATGTCGTATGAGATACACTAAAAGATATTGTTATGTATGGCGAAAATATGATGGAAAGTAATATGCAGTACAATGTAAGATAGTATAATGCAATCTATGATTATATAGTATACTACAATATACGAAGCTACATATTCGCACATACTGTTGCACAAGGCTGTAGAATGTTATGTGGCGTAGTATATTTTGCTGTGACTCAATTGATACTTATGATGTCAAGTGACTTGATGTAGAATGATGTAGTGTACGGCATTGCACTACAACGCAACACCATGCAGTATTTGTCCCCTTCAGTGTGGTACGACCACAAGGCGTCCCCTCGGGCATGTCCGCGTGGTCCTTTGGATCCGCCAGTCAGTACATGGTACAAAGATTTTGGGTGCGTTCTCAGAATGGTGATGCGTCGCAAATTTTCGTTGCCACACTGCTCGTCTTTTGTGGGTTTTTTCTGGGTGCATGTGTTGATCAATGTCTTAACACCATGAGGCATTTACGTTCAGAGCAAACGGGTACTACGTAATTGTTCCAAGCACGTGTGGATACACATTCAACTGTTCCGCGGCCCGCTGCGGCGCGGTGTTCATTTTCAATGAAAAAAACATCATTTTGTAGTCTACCTTGGCCACTCGCCAATTGTCCGGAGATCTTTGCAGGGGAAAGACGCCATGCACCAAGGCATCTTCTTTTCAGATGTCTTTGCGGAGTTCCCCACGAGCTGTCACTGGGTCATCAAAAAGAGAAAACGAAGTCTACGACGCTCCAACATGACAGTATGCGGACTTTCTTCTTGACACTCAAAAGCCTGCAGAGTACGCGGTTTCACAAGTGCACACAAAAGGAGCGAAAGTAAAATGCAGGGGCGGGTTTCGAGGCAAGGGCGCGGAAGCCTTCATGTTGGACCGTACCTCATCACTTCTGCGTTGACCAGGTCCGCACGGGCTCGAGGAAACGATACGTCATCAGACATAGAATGACAATGACATAAGACTGCTGCAGATATCCTCTGCTGCCTCATGAAGCCGAAACGGGAAGAAAAAGGACCTCCCTTTCCGAATGCTCCGCGGCCACGTTCAAATCTGTCCAGCTCCTGCCATCCTTGCGGCGACGTGTGCGATTGCAACATCCGCAACACCTCTCGATTGGCGTTGTTCTTGTGCTGCAGGCCACCCTGCGACTCCTTTTCCGAGGCGATTCATCTGTTCGCGAGTTCAAGGCGGCCTCTCGATTGGCGTTGTTCTCGTGCTGCTGGCCGCCCGGCAACTCCTCGTCCGAGGACGAGGTGCTACAGGTTGAGCTGGCGTCTGGTCCTGCGCTTCGTGCGAATCCTCCAAATGTTCCGGGTCTCGCATTTCGCTCCACGGCCGCGAATTCGAGCTGGTCGTCGAGTAAGTGCGCCAGATGGTCGGCCCTGCCATATTTGCAGGGGCTTGTCGCGGTCCTACTTGCAAATTCCATACATTTGGCGGCCAGTTCATCTGCAACCGCCTCAAAGTCAAACACGACTTTCATGGCAACCCGATCCGTGCGAGGTCCCGTGCGTCTCGATGTTCTCCGGAATCTAAACTGTGACACTGAAGTGCATCAGATCTGAAAGGGTGTGCGCTTGCAAGACCTTCGAGCTGTCACAGGGATTCCTCACAGCTCTGTACGGAACGCAAGGCAAAGCTCCTGTTACGCTTGTGGTGACATTTGCGACTGGAGCAATCGCAACACCTCTCGTTGCTCTCTTTCTGCTGGCCGCCCGGCAGCTCCTCGTCCGAGGGCGACTCGGTGCTACAAATTTCGGTGACATAGAGATGATGATACATGAGGCAATCCGCGAACTGTTGGAGCTATCAAGTTGTCGAACGGGAAGGTCGCCGATGCATATGTCGCCGAGAGCGATCGCTGAGTGATCGGTCGACTGTCAGGTGTCTGAAGTTTCAAACCGGTCACCTAAGCACCCGCCTCATCGAAAGTAAGATTTCCATCCTTGCCACCCTCCTGGTTCACAAAACTTGCCATGGCAAAAGCTGTTTTGCTATTTTGCACCTTCAGCAGCCAAAAACCTGCAGAAACATAACAATACAGGATTCAATAACAATGTCTGGTAAAACAAGCACTAGAAACAAACAAAACCAAACAAAAACAGAAAAACAAACCCAAAAAACAACAAGGCAAAGAACATACAAGTTATATTCTTGGAAAGCGACTGCCATGATACTCTGGAGCCAGGAGTTTGGAAATATTGGTTGTCAGTCTTTCTGGTTTTGGTTTTCTTGGTTGTTTTGGTTGTGGTGGTTTTCGTGTTTTTGGTTTTGTTGCTTTGCTTTCATGTTGTTTTGTTGGTTTGATTTTTTGGTGTTGGTTGGTTTTGTGTCGCCGGTGTAGTTGTTTGTGTGTATTTCGATTTTGGCTGTTGCGGTTTTGAGCACTCCGGTCAGAAAACCCCCAAAACACAATATACATACATATGTGTGTATGTATACACACGCTCTCACAACTCGACTGCAATATACGATCATGCCAGCCGATCGATGCCGGCATAATGTGAGCCCCCTAAGGAGCCCTGGCCTGAGAGCCTACCCCTTCAAGGTTCGCGTCTGTGCAGCTTTTTGCTTTCGCCAGGGTTAGGGTGTAGAGGGTTGCCCCCCCACACCGCGCGCGGGTGCGCCCCCGACTGTTGCGGGCGCGAGTGAGTTTCACTCACACTCAGAGGCAAACTGCATTCACTCACCTGTGGTTAAGCAAAACTATACAGTCAATGAAGCGTTCTTTGGTGAGTTGATGCCGCCGGGCTGGCCCCCGAATCCTTTCGACATGCCTAGAAACATGAAGGACCACAACATGTAAACAACTGGCAGAAAGGTGTCAGGTTTGGGCCAGTCGGTGCACTTTGACGTGAGCTGAGTATCAGCGCATCATGTTGCACCAGAGCCCCTCATGCCGAAATATTGCAAGTGCAGCCATGGGAGAGCAGAAGGTTGCCGTCAAAAGGGCGACCAAGGGCATAAATAGTGCGTGAAATCATGAAACAGACATGACATACGACTTTGCTCTCCTGTGCTTTGGTGAGACAACTGCCGCAGGAGACCATCTGACTATGGAACAACACCGTGGGCAAGTATCGAGTAGCAGAAGAACAATGGGTAAAGACAACAAACCAAAGGACAGGATCTTCCACGGAACATGGTTGTGCAGCGGCTCTCTCTCTCTCTCTCGCTCTCTCTCTCTCTCTCTCTCTCTCGCTCTCTCTCTCGCTCTCTCTACGATACAACACACTATATACAAAGTAAGGTGTTTACTATGCTATGTACAAAACAGCATACAGAATCTACAGCACATGAAACAGTAAACCTGATAAAATGCCGTAGCATATAATATCAAGCCTCCGATGCAAAGCATATAAGACAGATAATATGTAGAACATGCTACATAATACAGAACATACAGAACGCACAATAGATGACCCTATATATGCTGATCTGAGTTGTAAAAATGAATGGAATAGAACAGACTACAATAGAATTGAATGGAATAGGCCAGACTACAAACAGAGTAGACTAGAATACAAGAAACTATAATACATCATAACATGATACAATATAATATAATACAACACAGATAACATAACATCATGCAACAGAATAAAATAAACTGCAATATGATACAATGGACAGCATGTCTTATTGAAGAAATGTGCGCATGTACTACATACTCACGAAAAGCTTAAATATCCTAAATGTTCCAAGTCCTATGTTTACGAAAGTCTCCTTGGGTGGAGCTTTGAGAGGTGGGGCGGGATTTGCGGAAATAATCTCAGCGCAACAGCCTTCGGCACCTTCCCTGCCCCAAAGCCAGCTAAGGCTTCCACCAAGGCGTCCCGAGAGCCCCCTAATTAAGCTCCCCAAACATGCCAAATGAACCAAAATCTGTCGCCTCAACATGGCAGCCAACATCCCCCAAACTTAAATGCCCATACCACTCAAAGGGCAGCGTCACCGGACGACCCATACCCTATAGCCATCAAGCCCTTCTCCGCTTTCAGATCCTGAAAGCCCGAAATCCTGAAATCTTAACACGCGGAACACTGGGCCCTGAAGCCAAGAAATTCCTCACAACCCGGAAGGCTATGGCCTTGGGATCGGGATGTGGCTCATATACTGTGTAGCACGTACTATACACCATGTCAATCAACAAATAAAAAGGTGGAACGACAATGTAATGCTTTAATGTGTATTGCGAGGTGCATCAGATTACACAACTGCGTGCTGCAGTGCCCCTACATCTCCCCGAGGATTGCTGACTTTTGCCTTCCAAGCGTCTCAGCTTCTTCCGGATCCTCTGGCGGCTCCTCAGAAGCCTTCCTGGCCGCCTCTGCACGGAGCGAGGCCTGGCAAAGAGCCCCGGGCAGCGACGATCATAGCATGGGCGAGCACTCCCTGGTACCGAAGGCCTCTTCGCGCCGCAGGGCGCGCTCCTTGAGCCGGCGCTCCTGTAGGAGGCAGAGGGGAGAAACGAAAAAGAAGGAAGCTAAGGCAGCATGGGAGCGTGAGCGGAGAGGACCAGAGATAAAGCGAGGGAGAACGAGATGAAGGAAAGGAGGGGTAGTGCGAGAGTTGTCCCGCACCTTCTCCTGCAGCCTCCGCTGCCGCTCCTGTTGGCGCCGCACCTCCCGACCGTGTTTGGCCACAGCCGGCCAGGTCGGTGCTCCGGGGGTGCGGACCGGCATCTCCATGGAGTTGTTCTCATACCTTGAACTCGGCAAGAACCCAACCCAACCGAAGACCTGAAGCCCTTCGAATGAGGCCAGATGCTTGTCGTAGACATGGAGGAAGAACTCCTCCTCCTGATACTTCGTGTCGAAGTCCACGCTGTACACCTTTAGCGTCAGAAGGGATTTCAGACTTGCTGCCTCTTGCCGTCCCCACCTCGATGGTGTAGTTGGTGGGGTTGCACAGGAAGAGCTCCTGCATACAATCCTCCGTGCCCGGCAGCACCGGACCCAGCTCGAAGGTGGTCGAAGGCTCCACATTCACCCTCAAGCCGTCACCACATCCTCTCATGTGCAGCATCTTTCCTGAGATCACTGTGCAAGGTGCACGGCTGAGCAAATGCGACACGCAGGTGGGCCAAGCTTCTCATGGGGTTGTCCATGATCCGGAGGGCCACCTTCTGATTGTAAGAGCGCGATGATGTCGGCGTGAAGCTCACCGTCACCAGCTGAGACTCTCCAGGAGCAACCCTGCAAGGGCGCCGAGCAATTCAAGCGGTTCTAAGCCTACTGAGCACGCGAGCCTTCCGGAGCGAGGGCTCAGTGAGTATGCAAACTCCATCGGCTTCCCTGGCTTCGCCGTCGGAGCCTTGTAATCCCAGCCTGAGTGCTGCACTGACGCACTGCACCCCGACTAGAGCAGAGCCATGGCCCCAGCTGGCCATCACCGATTTGGCATTGCGCAGCCTGTGACTGCAGACACCCAGCTATCTTCGCACTCACAGTCAGGCCGCGCATCAATTCAGCCCAGAGACTTGATGGTGATCCTCTTCACCTGTCCAACGACCACGTGCCCGAAGTCGATGGAGTCGGAAGACAGCTCCAGGTCAGGCCGCACAAATTCACTCATCAGCTTCACCTGAAGGCCAAACCAAACAGACATTGCATTGCAAATCTAGAACCTGTGTTGCTGCCGTCATGATGATTCTTAGATTCCTGTGAGGGGTGTGGTCGTAATGCTTTGGCTAGGATATTCGAATTTCACCACTCGATGCTTTGCTTCTTGGACCTCGTAGGATGGCCCACCCCGGACCGGAATGATCCAGTTCAGCTCCTGCTTGCCCTCCTCACCGGTCCTGCAAGGACATTGCGCTCCAAGCCATACTCAACACCCGACAGCGGCCCGACACTGCGAGAGAGGCAGAGACACGCTGGGAGATCTCAACAAGGCAAGGCAAGGCAAGAAGGCTACAAGCGGTTGCAATTCGACTCACAGCCCATCCTGTCGCGGAAGCAGGTGAGCTCCAGCTTCACTTGTTTCCCGGGCGGTAGTTTGCTCACCTTCCGAGAATTTGATGAATACTCGGTGTCTCGTGGCCGCGAAAGCTTTGCAGGCCTTCTCTGGGCTTATTTGGAAACCTTTCTGCATCAATAGCCGCTTGTTGATGTTGAAGGACACGTTCTCATGGAAGCAGTTGTAAACCGAGATCACCTGCCAGTGTAAAGATGCAGACTGCTGTTCCCGGAGTCCAACAATGCTCCAGCCTTCTTGCCGGAGTGGCCAAGGACAATGTGCCCGAAGTTGCATTCGTAATAGGCTGCTGTGATGTGCGTCACCTCCAACATCGGGCGCCGCTCGCCGCGGCCACGTGCCGAGCCTGTTTTTGAGAAGCTCAGAGGATCCCCCATCAATGCTGTGCAGCAACTTGCACCCCACGACAACAGCCTCTCGCCGATCCCTTGCCGAAGGTCTCCTGTTTTCAACTGTCCCACCCTCTGGGGAGGGGGTGGTGGATGCACTGAAATTTTTGCTCCACCCTGTCCTTGCTGTCCTTGTTGCACTTCTCCAAGTGCTTCTCCCACAGCTCCTAACGGGTCAGAAGCCTCCCTCTTCCACCGAGCAAACAATGATTGGATCCATGATGCGCAGTGGACCGACAGTCTGAAAAGGTGCGCGGGGAAGAGCACTCCGACTCCAACCCCGTCTGAGCGCGGACCCTTCCACCAGTTCGGAGAGACAACACTGCACAGATTGAAGTCGAATCCGAATTCCCAACGCTCGGCTCAAATGCGCGGGACAGCACTCACTCAACGAGCTCTACGTTCCTTCTCTTTCGCCAGAAGCGACTGGCAGATGAAGTGGCGGTCAACCTGGCCGTGCGTATGTCTTGAGGCGACCAAACCCCGTTCACTCCGCATCCAGCCTCGAACTCCACCACCTGGAGATAAGGGAGATTGCAAGCTGCCGTGCCACAGCCCCCTCCTCTCGCAGAACACCGCCCCCCATGCGCCTGTGGCTCTGGCTGCCACTCCGCGAGGCTCGCAGCAGATTCGTTTGCAGAGATCTCCGCGCTGTGCATGGAGGAGGTGGAGGAGACCTGAAGCCGCAGGACGCCGGAACCTAGGGCCTACAGTAGGGCCCAGTGACCCTTGTCCAAGGCAAGCCAAGCCACACAGGCGGCTTGAGGAGGAGGTCCGTTCTCTCTGAGCCGCTGCAGTGCCAACTCCTTGTTGGTCTGATGCTCTTGCCTCGGCTGCGCTGGGAGGCCGCGAGGCCCCCAGCCCCAGCTTTGCAAGACAGACACCTACGCGGAGTTGCCAAGTAGCTCATTGCCGCGCTCCAGGCCCTTGAAGACGTCAGGATTGCTGCCCTGCAAGAGCAGGATCCCCGGAAAGATCCCATGTCCTCACAGGATCTCACGCGGAACACATCAGGTTCTGACGCCATGGAACCGAGGGAGGCCTCGGACGTTAATTCGCTGCCGCTCGAAGTGGGCAACTTCCAGCAGTGCGACTTCGTTCACCTCGTCCGGAATACCTGCGGCAAGGACGGCGGCAAAGCACAACGCGTCATCTGACCCGAGGGTCTTTGCGAATACTACGACCTTCGAAGCAAGGCAACTCTGACTCTGAAAACCAGCTCTGCCTGTACGGAATCGGATCGTGATTCGCTCCTGCTTACACTCAGCACGACTTTAACCATCCTTCAAACCCCATCCAAACACACCCGGGCATCTCCTTGTCACCAGGATTGATTTGGCCAGAGACAGGCCAACAGTCCAGCACCGGAGGACGTGAGAGAGCGCAAAGGTTCCAATTAAATTGAAAGGCGACCTGCACAAGCATTCGCGAGTTCTGACAATTTGTCCGTGCTGTCGAGCTTGCCTTGCCGGTATTTGCGAGGACTATCTCCCGCTCTTGCACCTGACGAGAGCTGACCACTTGATGAGATTCGCTGCTACCAGTCGACCGCACCTCCGTGTACGGAATCTCACCGAAGTCGAGCTCCGTCTTGTCGAGGCGGAAGTCCAGTCGGGATGCCTGACCCTTCAGCGTCACCTCGTACCTTCAGCTTCGGGCTTGGAGAGAGCGGCGCAGCTGACCGAACATAGGCAAAACCTGCACAGGCCAAGCGACTCCGGGCCGCCCTCTGTCTGACAGACAGCCAAGCAATCGAACTTCTGGTTCTTCATGCCAAAGTACGTGAAGGTCACATCCTGCTGGCAGAAACTCCGGTCTGAGCGCGAGGAGCCCTGGCGGCACACCCCTCCGCCTGCGAATGGCCCGGCTCCAAGACACCCATGATCGGCAAGATGTCAAAAATCTGATTGATGTCCTCGGAAAACGATGAAAGAAGAGGGGGGGAAAAGATGCCCTTCTTCGAGGAACGTCGATCTATGACTTCCCAGTTGAGGGGCCACTGCCGGGCGCTGCTTCTGCTTGGGGAGGAGCGTGCCCTGCATTTCGGCCACTTGGGACAGGCGCGGCAGACTGGACATCTCCAGATTCCTCAGCAGTGTTGCCCCAGCAGGCTTCAAGAGCGCGGCTGCACCTGCGAGTGCAGGGTCCAAGTGGCGGATCGGCGTTGGAGCGGATGGAAGGCGTCGGTTTCGGCGGAAATCCTGCCCATCACGCCCCCCCATCATCATGCTCGCGTGCAACAGTGTGTGACTTTGCTTCTGCGTCCTGAACTGAAGGAGTTCGCAGCCGAGTTCGCCGTGCTCTGCATCACAACCGAAGCCCTTTGTCCGCCGCTTACATCATCTTCGCTCATTTCCTAGGTGCTCTGTGGCAACAGTCAAGCTTTGGAGTTGAGAGATGCAGGCTCTGATGATTAAGTCGGGCAGCTGCTTCTTCCACGAAGGACCACTGGAAATTCACGGGAAGAGCATTCGGGTTGGCCATGGTGATCGTGAGCTGCTTGCTCGTCTCATTGAGGACCTGGGCTATCGGCTGACGCGGCTGTCGGAAGCCGCGGCTGCCAGAAAGTCTGCCCTAAGGAAAAACACAGAGTCCGCCGAGCTTCGGAGCCGAAGTCCAACTTGTTGTTGCCTCGGAAGCGAAGCGAAACTGGATTCTCCCATGTGGGCCCCTGCGTGCGCAGATGTAGATGACACACGCATTCCATCCCATGCAAAACGGGACTGTGGCCCATCTGACCCTCTGCTTTGCGAAAACCCACAGGTCTACGAGGACGACGCCAGCAGGCCAACACTGTCACGCAGCACAGGAGAACATGACCACCCTGTGAAGGATGACTACAGGTGCCACGAAAGGACGTTCACAACAGTGGAGATTCCGTACAGTGTCAAGCACAGCCACATGATAATGTGGAGACTACACTGCACAGTCACAGACAGTCGAACACGCACATGATACCTTCCTTGCACTCAGCGGTGACAGCTGCAAGCAACAAACCCCGAGGCAAGGGGTCAGTGCCTGCACACCGTCAAGCTGTTACTCGTGCTAATGCGGCTGTGCTGCTGAGCGTGAGGTTTGGGAAGATGACTTCACCAACCAGGTTTACATGATCCCGCTGCGGGTGGTCCTTGAAAGGCTTGTTTTATCGACAACGTTCCGATGCATGGTGTAACACTCACTGCGGAGACCTTCAATACATAGGTCCTGGTACACTATTGTCAGCTTCTGCTTCACGGTGCCACAAACGCGATCCACCTTGTAGGCCGGATCGAACTCCACGCGAATCCTTGGGGCCGTTTTATGGGCATCTGTCTCGTCAGAATGGCTCCCTGCCGGGCTGAGCGTCTCCAACGTTTCACCAGACCGCAGGTAGCACGTGTCGATGTTGACGTAGAAGGGCCTAATGCCAGGATGACACATGAAAGCCCTAAAAGGCGCAGCGCATCCTCTGCCAAGCAGCGGTTGAACCTTGATGAAGAAGCGAACCTGGACCAGGCGCAACCGCATCAAGAGGAACCCGACTCTACAAAAGCTGACGACTCCACGAATCCGTCCACTGTTTTCCTCGCGCCCGCTGCCCATCGGAAGCACCTCACCCGCCCTCCTCCCTACACTGCTGATGGTCGGGCCCAGCTCAAGCGCACGGCAGTGCCAAATTCATTCGGCACTCCACTTGGGCGCGTGGGCGCTTGGAAGTCGAAGGAGCGTCTTACATGGATGTTCCTTGTGATCTCGCTAGCCGGGAACCGCAGAGCTCCATGCTGTCGCTGCGGGCTCAGCTTGCAGCAACTTTCTCTTCGACAGCGTCTTCTGACTCCTCTTCATCCTCCGTGAAGTCTTGCCAAGGCCCCCGAGCTGGGCCTCCCTTACCCAAAGGGTTCGTGTAGGGTGACCAGGGGCCGTGGTTCAGCGGGTAGCCTCGGCTCTTGTGCGTCCAAGAAGGATAGACCAGCCCACAGCCGCTTTCAACTTAACGGCCCTCCACATGAATCAAAACTTACTTCAGTAACCTTCGTACAATATCAACAATTTCACTTGACCAAGGGCCGTTGTGCATCCGCAGCTTCGGGGTCCAGAGGCCATTGCGAGGCCGCTGCTTCCGCTCCCAGTTCAGGTGCTCAGCCAAGCCAGTGCGCTCCAGAATGGCATCGAACCTGACGACCCGAAAGCTCCAGCCCTACGCGCCACTAGCCTAGAAACCTCACGACCCCTCACACTAACCCCCTGGGCCTGTCACGGACCTTCTCTCGGGAGCCCAAGCGTCGCTCTGCGAAGCGCAGGGCCCGGTGGAGCTTCCTCGGAAGTGAAGTGGCACAGGGACATTGCAGAAAAGCAAGGGGGTGTCATCACCATAAGATCAGCACGATCGTCATCATGTCATGCTTACTGTTCGTCGTCAGAAGCAGCCAGACCACCACCACCACCGCCACCACCACCGCCAGCACCCGTACCATCACAACCACCACCACCACCACCACAGCATCATGCTAATAGCACCAGCACCAGCATCATGGTCGGCATCCTATCGTAGCAATGCCAAGCAGGTCCTGATTCCCATGTGCCTGTGCCGAGCAGCCACCCAAGGGCCAAAAGCTCCGGCCTATCTCCGACTATCTGTTGGGCTTCCTCGGTACCTTGGGGCACAACTCTTCACAGGGAATTGTGAGGGGCGGGCGGCATGCCGCCAAGGGGCCAAACAAGTTCTCCACAGCTTCGAAAGCCAACTCGAATTTTCGAGACTTGCGCCTCGAGCAGAAGCCATGAAGGCAATCTGAATAGATTCCCTAGCAATCAAAGCTTCTTGGCGCCGAGTCGCTGGTTCTCCTCTAGCAGAAGGTAGGGCGCCTTTCTCACGGCGTTCTGGGCTCCCTCCTGGCATCCAGGCTTTCTGAAAATGCCATGGCATGGCTTTTAGCAGCATCCATCTTTGAATCCGGCCTTTCCCAGGAGCTGGCGAAGAGTTCCAAGCCGGCCCAGAAAGTTCTCACCTGAGGGTCGTCTTGGGGCTGACGAGACCTCCGGTGCGTAGGTTTCATTCCAAGCCACCATACCACTTCAGCAGCAGCGGCTCCTGGGCTATGGCTTTGTGCGCCTGCAGGGCAGATCCGTGTCTGGTAGATTCGAAGGCCCGCGCGGAAATTGCCTCCTCCAGGTTCCCGAAGATGGCGATCAGCACCTTGGCAACCAGGGCCCCGTAATCCGAGCACGAAGAGACGGCTCAACGCTTCAGCCACCGACAGGCCAAACAGTCCACAGCCAAGGGCAGCTGAGGCACGGGGTAACCTTCCAAGAATGACAAGACTGCTCTACGACACTGGCTGAGAAGGTCGCTTGAAGCACAGCAATCGGAAAACTCTCCTTGGTGCCTCCTGGCACTGCAGAGACGTAGGGAGAGCGAGCCACGCGGTCCATGGCCTCCTTGGCAACGGCCATGGCTGCCTCCGTGCTGCCCATTACCGCGGTCATGTCGCCCATCGCCTCACAACAAAACTAACTACTGCTACGGCTACTGCTACTG